GAAGGAAGGAAGGAAAAAAGTTGGATGCTTTTTTTTTTTTTTTTGACACAGGGCCTCACTCTGTCACCCAGGCTGGAGTACAGTAGCATCATCATGGCTCACTGCAGCCTTGACCTCCCTGGACTCAGGTAATCCTCCCACCTCAGCCTCTCAAGTAGTTGGGACTACAGGTGCATGCCACCACACCCGGTTAATTTTTCTAGTTTTTGTAAAGAGGAGGTCTCACCATGTTGCCCAAGCTGATCTTGAACTGCTGGGTGCAAGCAGTCCACCCAACTTGGTCTTGAAAGTTGCTAGGGTTATAGTTGGGAGCCACCACACCGGGTTGAGCAATTTTTGAAAAGACAAAAAGTCTGTGTATGGGGGCTTGCTTCCATAATAGCCTTCCCTCCTTTCTTCCTTCCTCTTAGCCACCTACCAAACCCACCTAGTCATCCATCCACTTTTTTTGTTTTTTTTAATTTTTTGCCTCCTAGGAAGAAAACTGGCCAGGAATACGGGGTGAAGGAGGAGAATAAGTAAACGCAGTGAGTGAGTGTGTGTGAGTGAGTGAGTGTGTGTGTGTGTGTGTCACAGGAACAGAACCAGTGGTATATAAAGAGAATGCACACAAAGGCCCCACCTGAGTCAAGTTCGAGGGCTCACAGGTATGAAAAGCCATCACCTTGACAATTCAGCTCTCATTAAGGAGCTCATTAGATTGTGTAAGGAGGGAAACTGCTGAGTGGGGAGTAAAAGCCTAACGACTTCAAACGAAATACAGCTTGAAGAGAACTCTTGTGACTATCAATTGACACTGGCAGGGCCTTTTGAAGATGCATTTTTAAAAATCCATCATCAAGAAAACCACTCAAAGTTATTTAAAATCAAACTCTGAAGAACAGTTAACATTTCATCCCACAGAATGGAGTGTCTCTGCAGCACATTTCAGCCAAGTCAGCAAGCTGCTAACCCCATGGGAACACTGGACCCCAGTTTCTACTTGACTTAGCTCCAGGTGCTACCTTATCATCCAGCTCCGCAACAGAAGCACAAAGGTCCACCAGGTTAGGCTGCAGGTGTCCATTTACAATCTTCTCATTATAGATATAAATCTGAAATGACAAAAAGCAAAGTAAACGGCACAATATCTATTTTCTTTTCTTTTTAAAACCTCCTGAAGCAGGCAATGGCCAGCAGAAGCTTCAACCAACTTTTCCTTCCTCAGAGTGGCTGAGCCATCCACACTGGCCAGCTCTCCAGCTGTGCTGGCGTCGTGGGTAACACACTAAAGCTAACTGCCACCTCCCAAACACCTGAGGGGTAGGAGCAGCAGGGTTGAGAGGAGAAGAACCACAGGGAGCTCTGTGCCTCTCTGTCCCAGCAAGCAAGGACCCAGGGAACGACAGGACAATGGAAGGGCTCTGACTGTTGCTTCCTAAGAACCAAGGCAAAGGGCTAAATTCTTTCAAAAGAATGGACAGAGTGAAAAATGGGCACTGCCTCCTTCCTCGAATGCCTAAGTTGGCTGGCACTGTTTTATTTAAAAAGTCAAATCCAGGTATGTATGGTCCTCAGAGCGGTTTCAGTTCAACAGAATTCCTGTGCTTAACACAAAGCGTCTCAATCCATACTCATACTATTGGATGGTCATCATCTGCAACCAGAAGATGATCTCTAAAATGTCATGAGTTTTCCTAGGACAACAGTGGTATTAAGTAGTGAATACAGTATGCTTATCAAGGCAGAAAAACATTTAGAAAATTTCTCTCAACAATGAGTGAAAAAAGGATTTGCTAACATCATCAGCCTATCAGGTAATTCAGTTAATATTGAACTCCATTTGCTAAGCAGGGCAGTTCCCTGAAGCTTTACTGTACATGGGACTACTGCCAAAAATGCAAACCGAGATGCCATGGTCAGTGTAAAGGACAGATTTCAATTTCCTCAAATCAAATGTGAGTCATTCTATTACCCTATTTGACAGAATTCTCCAGCAGCCTATGGCAAAATATTAACTAGTCCTCTAAATGAAAAAACACAACTTGCTTTCAGGGTTTGACTTTTACAAGTTTTTGTTCCCTTTTACTCCCTAGAGGTTCACAAAGGATTGAATCTCCTGGCTGAATCTCCCTTGTGAGCACACTCACCTGCCGGGCATAGGCCATCTCGATGCTATCCAGAGAGCTTCGACCAGGGGGTCCCACATCACTGATGTAGCTTGGCTGTGGATAAATACACATTCAGAATCAGTTAGGGACAGTATTCAATTATGTGAAGAAATAAAAATCACATAAACATATTCTTGTCTTTAACAGAGCTGTGAAGTCTGTTTCCTAGTTAAGACTTCCTCAAAATGATGATTTTAGGGATTTCGATAACATTCAACTTTTACTGTGAACACATAAGAAGAGAGCAGGCATGGGATTGGATTAACTAAAAAGAGTGAGGGGATGGATAAACTCTATCAATACCTCAATGACTGTTTCTGGAAATGTACATCTTTCCAATGTTCTGTTTCAATCTCAAACCCCCTCTCTACCTCATCTTCCCTTCCCATGTCTTCGTACCAGTGAAGCTGTTGTTTTTATCAGTGGGCCTCTTTTTCATCAATCATATTAGGCAGTTCAGGGAACACAGTTTATAGAGCCAAACGTCTAATTCAGATATTTCCGTACTAGAGTCCACACTAAGATGACAGCAGCTGATTACTTTTCTGTTACCTGAAGATGTGAGACCAGTGTAAGCTGGAGAGTCACTCATTCAGTAAATATTTGCTATGTGCCTGCCACATGCACAGCTGTGCATATATCCATATCCATAAGAACAAAAACAAGCCAGGCAGCAAAGCCTGTCCCCAAAGAACTTACAATCTGAAGAGGAGAGTGAGATAAAAATAATCATGTATTGCTTAACAATGGGGATAGGTTCTGAGAAATGAATCATTAGGAGATTTCGCCATTGTGTGGACTTCATAGAGTATACTTATACACACTAGGTGGTTTAGCCTACTCCACACCTCTCCACACCTACGTTGTATACATAGCCTATTGCTCCTAGGCTATCTACCTATACAACATATTATTATAATATTACAGGCAACTGTAACACAACGTTGAGAGAGAGAGAGAGAGAGAGAGAGAGAGAGAGAGAGAGAGTGTGTGTGTGTGTGTGTGTGTGTGTGTGTGTGTGTGTGAGAGAGAGTTTTCCTCTTCTTGCCCAGGCTGGAGTGCAATGGTGAGATCTTGGCTCACCACAACCTCCGCCTCCCAAGTTCAAGTGATTCTCCTGCCTCAGCCTCCTAAGTAGCTGGGATTACAAGCATGTGCCATCATGCCTGGCTAATTTTGTATTTTTAGTAGAGATGGGGTTTCTCCATGTTGGTCAGGCTGGTCTTGAACTCCCGATTTCAGATGATCTGTCTGCCTCGGCCTCCCAAAGTGCTGGGATTATAGGCATGAGCCACTGTACCTGGCCATATGTATATATTTAAACATAACTAAATATAGAAAGGGCATATGAAAATATGGTATAATTTTATGAGGCCAGCCACCATCACATACGTAGTGCATGACTGTGTATGAAAAAAGTCTCAGTCTTTTTAAAGAAAGAATATTCATCTTTAGCTAAGCTTATGCCTTCTGTTATTAGGTAAATTATGCCTTCAAAATTAGGTAAATTCTTAAGTTTCCACTCATTAGTTTATACTGTAGCACAGCAGAGATCAAATTCTTTAAGCTTATCTCATTTTAAAAAAGCCCAATGTTCTATACACTAAAATCTAAAATAAATCAGTTTAAACTAGGCTTTCTGTGAACCAATGGAAGACAACAGTCAAGCTTCCCAGCACCGTGAAGCTGGTAAAAGGAAGAGCAGAGTGGGCATGCACCAGGAGTAGGGGAGAGAGGGGAGGGCAGGTAGCAGAAAGGCTGCTTGAAGCCCTCAGTTCTGGAGAATGAACACTGGATTGTCAAGGACACCTGGGTTCCAAGAGGACCACTTCACTCCCTGGCTTTGGGATCTGGAGCAAAGTACCTCCTGAGATTCCCATTAGTCAAATGAAGGGGCTATCGTAGATGACCTTGAGAGGTCCCCTCAGCTCTGATCTCCAGCTATCACTGGTATTAAAAGAGCTTAAAATGTTCACTGATCTTGGCAGATGCTGCTGGCTGGCCCAATGACCCTTCCCAATTCCTATGTCTCACACTTTACTCTCTGCCACACTTCAAGCTGGCATTTAGAGTTATTAGGTTGGCGCTATCACTTTTGCGCCAACCTAATAAATATTCCCAATAGCGTGCTGTTAAGTGTTTTTTAACAGCTAGCTCTTGGGAAAAGGGACGATGGGTAGCATTTGCTGGTTTCTGTGGTTTAAATTCTCCCAACATAGCAGATTTCAAGCATAGGCGATATCAACTAGACTGCAAATTCCTTGAAAATTTAACAACAGGTCCTCATGTGCTGATCCCTATACCCTTTGAATATATACACCATTGAATATACCCTCTTCCAGCTCTACTACAGCAAGGAATAGCACATCCTAGTTTTAGCCAATGAGATGAAAATACAAGCCTGCTAGTACGTTTGGGGACAGCTTCTGCTTTTACTGATTGGAGGGTTGAGATGGAGAGCCTGTCATGGCTTTTCAACTCTCTCCCCTTCTTTCTGCCTTGAATGTAAATGTAATGTCTAGAGCTACTGCAGCCATCTTGTGAACCTAAAGTAGGTGGATGTGCTACAGATGGTAGTGTACCAGGACAGAAAGGTGTTGGGTTCCTGACAACACTGCAGAACAACTGAATTAACATCAACAGCAGACATCTCAGTAGGTGAGAAATATACACCTCTATTCAAGTTACGAAAGCTCAAGTTTTCCACTACTCACAGCTGAAAGCATTCCTACCTGAAACACAAATTTAATTAAAAAACCACTGGGTTACAATAATAACAACAGCTATTAATGAGCACTTACTATGTGCCAAGCACTGCTTGAATTTCCTTATTATTAACTGTACAATCTTATATAGGTACTTTTATTTATTTATCCATCTTACACAAAGGTACACAAGAGCCATGAAGCAATTTGCCCAAGTTCACTTCAGCAGGAAGCAGTGGAGCTGTGGCTTGAATCCACAGTCTGGTACCACACTCTGTACTCTTTGCCATTGCTCTATCCTGCCTGCCAGGGCAGCCTAGGGCAACTTTAAGAACAGTCATTACAGAATAATAGTTGGAAATCCTGGATCCACTACTTATAACAATGTGACCTTGAGCATATTGCTTCCTTTAAGCCTCAGTTTCTTTAGCTGTAAAGTGGGGGTGGTAATGATATCCACCACACAGGATTGGGATGAAGGTTAAATGGGGAGAAAAATAGTATTAATACCTACCTCACCGCACTGCTGTGAGGAATACGTGGAAGACTTCAACACAGTGCCCAATACATGGTCAATAAACGCTAGCTGTTCTCACTTTGTAAACAAAAGTAAACCACCACAATGAACACAGGAACAATACTACGCTGAACAACAACAGATACGGACGCCTCAGAAATATGACCTAAAGTATTTTACTTTGTGCAGGCTGAAAGTCTCATTTCACTTTTCTACAATGAACACACATCCTTGTTTGATGGAAGCCCCCCAGCCAGGGCATTTTATACTTCCAGACTCATTCAGAGTCTTCCCATTAACACTGTACTAAGGACTGTTCTCTAAGACAGCCACCTTTCTAGAACCGAGTTACTAAAAAGCGGAAGATTCCAGTCTTTTTATGAGACACAGCACTAAACCTGTTAATTCCAGTAACCTAGTCAAGGAGAATAAACAAGAAAATGCAAAGAACTGTACCAAAGCATTTTTGCAAGGACACAGTTGTTGCAGCTAAACATACACGAACAGCCTTGAGAAATATTTTCCAGTGCTAAAAACCTAATTTTAAAAATTATCCATTTAAAAAGTAGTTGGGTTTCAGCTTTCAAATTTCCATTTAAATTAATTTTCCCTAATGCTCTTGTTTTTAAAGGTACCCATCCTTCAGTTGCCCTTGACCAAGCCACTATTTCACCACACATAAAGTCAATTATCCACAAGAGGATGTGTATATCCACATTCCTGAACAGAGGAACCAGCGAATGTTTAGCTGGAATTCCACAGCCGAGGATTGCCTGAGGGCTGGGAAAGCCACCAATCTCTGGGGTTCTCTGCACTGGGGCAGAGCCATAGCAAGGACAACAGGACATGACGACAGGAGCAAGAAGCCAGAGACCGAAAGAGCAGGGAAGATGACAGGGTTTCTTCTTTTAGAAGAAAACAAGCGGCTCACCCAGGAGTCTGGAGATAGATATGTGGAAAAACAGTAGGCTCTGCGAGCACAAACTGAGAAAGGTCTTGTCAGAGTAGACAGTGTTCCCAAGACAGCCATTCCAGGACAGGACGGGGATAGAAAGTGGCAGGAGAGAATGGCAAACTTTTATTAAACACCTACTATTGCACAAAGTATATCCAGGGATGCATAAAACTCTTTTCCCAAGGAAAGCACATTCTAGTTAGAAAATGCAGGCCAGGCATGGTGGCACATGCCTATAATCTTAGCACTTTGGGAGGCCAAGGTGGGCAGATTGCTTGAGTCCAGGAGTTCAAGACCAACCTGGTTGACGTGGCGAAACCCCGTCTATACCAAAACCAAAACCAAAACCAAAAACTAGCTGGGTAGGGCGAAGTGCACCTGCAGTCCCAGCTATAATACTTGGGTGGCTGAGGTGAGACGATCACTTGAGTCTGGGAGGCAGAGGTTGCAGTGAGCTGAGACTGTGCCACTACACTCCAAGCTGGAAGACAGAGACCCCGTCTCAAAAGTGGGTGAAAAAAAGAAAAAAAAGTAATGCAACTAGCACTCCTAGCAAAATAAGTACATGGTAGTAAGAAAATATGATGATACTGCAGAAGGAAGACTTTAATTTCTAAGTGAAATGTTTTGGCTTTATGTAAGCAAAATGGAACCACAGTGATTAATTTACAATAGTTAGCTTTATCTGTATGCAAAAGTCCATTACTACTAGGATAAAACACCAGCCAGGGCCCAGAGAGGAATGGGGTCCTAAATGCAACCCAGCTAATAACTGTGTGATCTTATTCACCCAGCTAATGACTGTGAGACCGTGGATACAATGAGAAGAACACTTGTGGCACTCATAGGATGGAACACTGTTAGAACTACTAAAAAA